TTAAAGGACCCGACGACGCAACCGAAAAGTCGGTTATGTGTTCCAACAAAGTTTTAGCAAAGTCGGTTAAAGGACCCGATAGCGCGTTGGACACAGCGCTCTTGAAAAAGGCGGAAATATTAATTTGGAAGTTCATTCAAGACGAGTGTTTTCATTCGGAAATAAAATGTTTGAAAGCAGGCAAAAGCGTTGAAAGAAGCTCACGCTTAAGTAAATTATCTATGGAAATAGGAGAGGATAACTTACTCCGTTTAAATGGACGTTTACCTTTCAAGTCTAATTTGACCGAGGAAAGTAGAAAACCTGTCATATTAGACGGTAAACACGAAATCGTTAAAATGATGATTAGAGAAGTTCATCATCATTTTGGACACGCCAATCACCAGACGGTGATGAATGAGGTGAACCAGAAATTTTACGTCTTGAACTTGCGTAATGTAGTACGAAGTGTGTCACACCATTGTCAGTGGTGCAGGACATACAGGTCAAAGCCGCAAAACGTGCCACAAGGAAATATTCCTCTGGAAAGAATAGCTCATCATGAGCCACCTTTTACATGCTCAGCTGTAGATTATTTTGGTCCTATGAGTGTAACTGTAGGAAGGCGACACGAAAAACGTTGGGGCGTTTTATTCACGTGTCTGACCACCAGAGCAGTACATCTGGAATTAGCAGCCTCATTGACACCAGCGTCAATGATAATGGCGTTAAGGCGATTTATCGCCAGAAGAGGAAAACCAGCCGTTATATACAGCGATAACGGGACAAATTTCAAAGCTGCAAATAAAGAATTATTGAAAGCATGCGAAGAATGCTATGAGGGCATGAAAAACGAGTCATTTAAGAAATATATTAAATGGAAATTTATACCTCCGGGAGCACCGCACATGGGTGGCGCCTGGGAGAGGTTAGTAAGATCGATTAAAATTGCGTTGACCGCTACGCTTAAAGAGAAGAGCCCACAAGAGGAGGTTCTACATACGTTACTTTTAGAAGCAGAGCATACGGTAAATTCCAGACCTCTGGTAACATTCAGTATGGATAGTCCTGAAGAGGGTTTGACACCCAATCATTTTCTTCTGGGACGCTCATGTGGTGATCGACCACCTGGATTATTTTTAGAGCGACATCTGACGGGTCAACTCAATTGGAAAGCTGCACAGAGGTTAGCCGACCATTTTTGGACAAGATGGCTGAAAGAATACATGCCTACGTTAATACCTCGAACAGGTGATAACGGCAAGTTCATGGAACCTAAAGAAGGCGATATTGTTTTGATAATAGATCATTCGTTGCCACGAAATACGTGGCCAAAAGGTAAAATTAGTAGAACGTTACCGGGACCAGACGGTCACACCAGAGTGGTTGACGTCATTACTAGCACAGGTATCTTGAGGAGACCTACATCCAGAATAATAGTCCTGGTACCCGCGACGCCTCCCAAATGATGGTGCTAACGCACGGGGGGAGATTGTTGGCGACGCGCCTATAAAAATGTTTCAGTTTATTAAATCAACCGATGACGTTGCTATGAAAAAAGGGGCAGTCACGAGCAACGACGCTCTGATAAGAGAATGCTTAGTTAAATCTTTAAGAAATGTCGAATTAATGATATGAAGGTCTTGGGTTCGACTCCCAGGCCGGACTAGTTTGTTTGTTTTCCTAAGTAATATCGCTTAATAAATTCGTAAGGAATTTAAGATATAAAGTGAAGTTAAAGATCGGATTTGTTCCCCGGTCGAGATAATCACTCTGTGCATAGGCAGAATTAATGGATATTAATTGCATAAATGTTGTTTTGTATAAGTTTGATACGTTTTGTACGAAAACAAATGCCTATTTGTTATGATTGATTAATGAGAACATTCATTTATATTGTTATCTGATTAAAGATAGTTTCATACAGTTCGAAAATTGTATAAAAGCATTTAATTTGCCTAATATGGTCAAAATTGGTGTATATCAGACTTTCATTTTTTCTGATAGCCGAGAGCCGTGCAAAGTTAGTTGTTCACCTAGCGCGAGTACACGGAAGCACGCTGGCCACGCCCTTAGGAGGCCGAATATGTAAAAATTTAAAATGTTTGTAATTCAGTGATTTATGTAAAAATTACTTGTAAAATATTTCAGGTTAATTGTACGTGCTAAAAAAGGTAAATTCTGTGTTATTTTCATGTGAAAATTCCTGTGTATAAGTGAAATAATGATAGTTTTGTATAAGAAATTTAAAAGTGTTTTAAATAGTGAAATAAATAGAAAAAATGTAAATTAAACTATTGTATTGGTTAGCTTATATATAAATTCAAGTGAGAAACATTGTTTTAACTTTCTGTGTTAAATATTTAAGAAATTTCGATTTCGAACTTGTGAGTAAAATAGGCAGTTTTCGTTTAATAAATAAAAGGTTTTTTATGATATGAAGATATGATGTATATCATGGTGTAGATATTGTTTTGTACTACCTATATTGATAAATTGTATTTGTATATGATTTGAATAAATAAAGATATTGAGTAAAACGTGAGAGAGTAATAGAACAAATTCATGTAATTGAGTTGCGCAAGCGCGCGAATGGCGCGGCTCACTTTCGCGTATAGCTCTGGGGTAGCTTAGTGAACGGGTTTTATTGCAATTCGTTCGGGAATCGTTCGGGAATCCTTCGGGGAAGTTCGGAAATAGTTCGGAAATAAATAAGAAAATCCGAGGAAAAGTTCAAGAAAAGTGAAAAACCAGCAGTATAGGGAAAAGTGATTACTCTCTCACGGAACGGTTTGAAGATAATTGCTGTTTCATTCCCAAGATCCTTTAAGTTATACAGTCCACATCGAAGAATTAAGGCGTCGGGACCGGGACGACTTCGGAAGACCCGTAATCCCCGTCTGAACCTACTTGCTGAAAAGGAAGAGGTTATCGCCCTAGTGTGTTACTCCGTTGCGGAGATCACATACGTTGTTCCCGAACCCAACGTAGGCGTGATAGGAGGCCGGATCGAGAGAAGCCTCGATTCCTGTTTCTTAGTACCCGATCCGCTAGGTCCTTTTCAATTGGTCCTTTTCAGGATCAAGAGGGACACCGACCTGGTCCTTTTCAATTGGTCCTTTGCGGCCGATTGAGAGGACGCCCGAACCTGTGTTCCTTTTCGACGGTATATATTTATATTACGTACGTATAAGTAGAAAATATGTTTTTCTATTTAACTGTCGCATAAAATTGCTCGTGTACGTGGCCCACAAAACTGTAATGCTTATGGTATGGAGAGGATGGGTTACCCGAGATGGTTAAAATTACTGGTTGGGCCGCTAATATTTTTCATGGGCACCATAACGTGCCAGCCAACTTAGAAACATAATCCTGGGACATTCGTGTAGGATTCACAACGTCGAGAGAGATGAGTTCCCTTAAGCCACTGTATAACATGTCCTCAATATTTGTCGTTTATTCCTTTCTTTCCGTTACAGCCTATAAAAGTCCACTGCTGAACATAGGCGTCCCACATAGATGGCTTCATAAAGCTAAAGCTTTAAAAAAATCCATTTGTCTTCTACAATGAGGTGTCGACTATTCTCTCATTGGTGAGTAAAATGTTTCAAGTAATTCAAGAATATTCACGCGTTCTACAGTAGATGGCACTGTAATAATTTCTTCTTTGATAAATTTAAAAAAACCTAAATTAACTGAGGATACAGAACATTAAATCTGCAAAAGAAAGAATCTTTTCCTGGCATGTGTATTATGTTTTAACTACGACTCTACTTGCTACGTCACAATAATGCACAATACTCGTGTTACCGTCCTACGCTTATTTACGATGTCGTCAATCAATAAAATATGTCGTTTTAAAATATTTTTAGTCTCTTTCATATCCAGGCATCGATCTCTTTTCTGTATAAAGTTGTAAAAAGTGTTGCCATGAGTTTTATTTCAATATACCACATGAAACCGACAACAACGTAATTTTTATATTAAATATATAAAATAGTACATTTAAATACTTACTGCAATATGGAAACAGATTTTTTTTTATAAAGAAATGCAAATAATTGTTTCGTTGCTGTTACTTGTCGGTATTAATGTATCTATCCGAATTTCAGTCACCGAGATCGTGTCACTTTTGTCAAAAAGAATGTAAACTTTACAACATAGACCTGTTAAATAAGCCTTTAAATTTTGATATTTGTTTAAGTACAGCCCCATTTATGCTTAGAATTTCTTGAATCTTTTTTTTCCATTTGAAGGGTATGAGAATCCTTACAGTTACGGACAGTAATGTATTCCACATTAGCCTTAGTATAATTAAAAATAAACTAGTTATAGCGTATAATTTTTATTAACAAGTTGACTGTAACATTCTTACTTCGATCACCTTTTAAAAATAAATTAAAAAAAAACCGTAACGAGAACATTTCAATTTTTATGAGAATTTGTTAAACAATCAAAACATTTAATTAGGTATGTGGGTAGGTAAGTGTTTTTAATTAAATAGTTGTTTGTAGTAGGGAAGCTGATTGTAATAGGGACTTACCACCATGTGGTCTATTAACTCGTTTGTCTCCAAAAAATAACTAAAAAAACTTATATTTTTGATGATTTCCATACTAAAATTACTATATATTAATAGGGCGACATAGTTCATATTGTTTTAGCACAAAAAATAGTCCTTATAAATTAGCAAAACTTCTGCGTCTGGTGTCACCGTTGACCTATAACCTTGTGTTGATAAAAAGCTCGGCTCTCATTGGCTTCCGTTGTCGTTTCTGGAACGTTCCTGAAAGCGAACGTTTTGATTGGGTGTTTCTTGAAGCTCCTCGACCTTTCTAGATTTCGATTGGTACAATATAAAAGCGCGACGGCGGCCGCGGGAAGTCAGTATTGGTCAGTATAATTTGAAATACGATACAAGAGAGACGAGGAGGAGAGTTCGGTGTTTACCGAAGTTAATTTACAAGCGCTATATTGTTGACGTATATATTAGTGAGAAGTATAATTAAAAAGAGAACAAAATGCCAGCTATTGGAATTGATCTAGGAACGACGTACTCGTGTGTTGGAGTGTGGCAACATGGCAACGTGGAGATCATCGCGAACGACCAAGGCAACAGGACTACACCATCCTACGTAGCGTTCACCGACACGGAGCGACTCATCGGCGATGCGGCGAAGAACCAGGTGGCCCTCAACCCCAGCAACACAGTGTTCGACGCCAAAAGGTTAATCGGGCGCAAATTCGACGACCCAAAGATCCAACAAGACATGAAGCATTGGCCGTTCAAAGTGGTCAACGACTGCGGGAAACCCAAAATTCAAGTAGAGTTCAAAGGTGAGACGAAGACGTTCGCGCCGGAGGAGATCAGCAGCATGGTGCTGACGAAGATGAAGGAGACTGCAGAGGCGTACCTCGGAACCACGGTGCGGGACGCCGTCATCACCGTGCCGGCGTACTTCAACGACTCGCAGCGTCAGGCCACGAAGGACGCGGGCGCCATCGCCGGGCTGAATGTGTTGCGCATTATCAACGAGCCCACGGCTGCTGCTCTGGCTTACGGCTTGGACAAGAACTTGAAAGGGGAGCGCAACGTGTTGATCTTCGATCTCGGCGGTGGTACTTTCGACGTGTCGATCCTGACTATCGACGAAGGCTCTCTGTTCGAAGTGAAGGCGACGGCCGGCGACACGCACCTGGGAGGCGAGGACTTCGACAACAGACTCGTGAACCATCTCGCGGAAGAGTTCAAGCGCAAGTACAAGAAGGACCTGCGTTCGAACCCGCGCGCCATGCGTCGCCTCCGCACCGCCGCCGAGCGGGCCAAGCGCACGCTGTCGTCTAGCACCGAGGCCACCATTGAGATCGACGCGCTCTATGAAGGCATCGACTTCTACACGCGCGTCTCCCGCGCTCGCTTCGAGGAGCTCAACGCAGACCTGTTCCGCGGTACCCTGGAGCCGGTCGAGAAGGCGCTTAAGGATGCGAAATTGGACAAGAGCCAGATCCACGATGTCGTGCTCGTAGGCGGTTCCACCCGTATTCCGAAAGTGCAAAGTTTGCTTCAGAACTTCTTCTGTGGAAAGCAATTGAACTTATCTATCAATCCAGACGAAGCAGTTGCGTATGGCGCTGCCGTTCAAGCCGCAATCCTCAGTGGAGATACTGACTCCAAGATTCAAGACGTATTGCTGGTGGACGTGGCTCCATTATCTCTGGGTATCGAGACAGCTGGAGGCGTGATGACGAAAATCATCGAAAGAAACTGCAAGATTCCTTGCAAACAGTCAAAGACCTTCACCACGTACTCTGACAACCAGCCAGCAGTTACTATCCAAGTTTATGAAGGCGCGAGCGTGCGATGACCAAGGACAACAACCTGCTGGGCACGTTCGACTTGACCGGCATCCCGCCAGCGCCGCGCGGCGTCCCCAAGATCGACGTCACCTTCGACATGGACGCTAACGGTATCCTGAACGTGTCGGCCAAAGAAAACAGCACGGGTCGCAGCAAGAACATCGTGATCAAGAATGACAAGGGACGCTTGTCGCAGGCCGAAATCGACCGCATGTTGTCCGAAGCCGAGCGCTACAAAGAAGAGGACGAGAAGCAGCGGCAGAGGGTCGCCGCCCGCAACCAGTTGGAGACGTACGTGTTCAGCGTGAAGCAGGCGCTAGACGACGCGGGAGACAAGCTGAGCGAGGCTGACAAGAGCACGGCGCGCCGGGAGTGTGACGATGCACTCAAGTGGCTGGACAACAACACCCTCGCAGACCAGGAGGAGTACGAGCACAGGCTGAAGGAGCTGCAGCGAGTGTGCTCGCCCGTCATGAGCAAGATGCACGGTGCGAGTGGTGGTATGCCAGGAGGTATGCCTGGAGGTATGCAGGAGGTATGCCTGGTGGCCAGCGCGATGGTCCCACGGTGGAGGAAGTGGATTAATTATTTAAATCAGTAAAATGTAAATATTTGTAAATAAGCATTCTCAAGTGATGTTAATTGCATAAGACTGATAATTTATTTTTATTTATTGAACAGATGGATGATCATCGCCTGTTAAATAAATAGATTATGTAATTTATTACTGTCTTTCATTGCTCCTCCTTTACACGCACTATTTACACAGTAGATAGGTGCTCCCCAGGGCATCACAATCACATTTCAGACTTTCTAAGGTCATAAAATAGAATATACAAAAACAATGATTGGAAACAATATATTTTATGTCTATTCATGGTGTAATGCGACTGACTTAGAAACTATCGATTTGCTGAAAGGAGTCTTAAGAATTATCTCTATCCGAGATTTACTTTTGCCTCTTAGTATATTTATGAAAACTTCATGCATGTGCATAAAACAAAACTAATAGCCGGTCAAATTAGACTAGAAAATAAGAGCGAAGATACATAAATTTACAAGAAGCTGATATTCGGTAAAATTGTTCAAAGTATAGTAATAAATAAGACTTTAAAGTTCCCCACTCATATAGCAATCAATATCTACGAAACTGCGGTTCGTAGGAAAAAAGTATTGAAACATTTTTTGTAGATAATTTTATGATCTACATTTTTTGGCTGGAGTACTTTATGATAAAACTTACCGTTTTGCAGAAAATCGCGAAAAACTCATTTTTTGACCTTGGACCTTGAATTAAAATTTTCCGTACACAAGAAAATGGTGGGGAACTTTTAAATTTTATTTTTTTATTTTATTGTTATGTATCACCGAATGTCTAGATTGACCGGACTATAAAAACGGTTTCTTTTTTATAAATGGTTAGGTACATTCTGTGATTAATAAGAACAATCACTAGCTTGTAACATCACTTTTCGACTTCACAGAACACCTTCATATTGCTCGACTTCAAGGAGTCAGTAACACGCATGAAAACATGCAGGTACTGTCTATCAAAAAGTTTAAAAATTACTACCAAAAATTAAACAATTGTTAATCTGCAATGTATTACATTCTAAGCTATTATAAATTATGAGTTTCAAAAATAATGTCGCTGGGTTTTTTGTTGTTCTTCCGAGGATAGGTTTTCTCGAACAAGTAGTAAAAACATAAATAATTTTCCATCATACTAATCAATACCGTTCTTACGTACGCAGTTCTTAAAAACTGAAAACTGAGTTTAGAAAAATGGTAGAGTTTACTCTCTTGAATTAAGTCATTTTTAAGCAATTTTTCATTTTAAAATTACTTAACGCATGTATCGACTAAGTATATAATACTCAACATGTTGCTTGAATACTCAAAGGCCTGAAGTGATTATAGTATCAATTGACAGTTGATACCGACGCGGCGTTGCTCACAGCTTTTTTTTTAGGATAAGGGTGACACGAGCACACCGTCCACCTGACGATAAGTAGATGCTGTGATCCTTGGACTAAACTAGATTAAGAATATATGTGTAATTTGGTTTGTGTTTTAATTGTGTAACATAATTTTTTGAAATCTGATTTTTTTTAAGTCCCGCTGTGTTTCTTGCTGGTTTTTCCCAGGACAGCGATTTTTTCCGGGCCAGTGGTAAAAACAAACGAGTGATTATAAATAAGTATTTTTATTAAATATTATTATACCAGCAAAAGCATAAAATACTTTAACAAGTTTACGATAGATGGCATAGTATACCTTGAACTAACGACCTAAATAATAATGCTGTTTGAATCATTGATGTATAATGTCAACTTCAATGATTTGAAGAATGCAACTGTCTAGAATTAGTTTTCAGTCAATGTAATTATTATACATATTACATAGTATACTAAAAACAGAAAAAATTCCAAAACAGGGCGGACGAGGCTATAGCTCCTTACGTTTTACAGAAGAGGGCGCTACTAGACACTACTACAGATGTGGCAATAAAGAGATTCAAATATAATTGTTGGCGACGCGCCTATAAGAATATTTCAATTTATTAGTTAACCGATTACGAATAGCTTCTAAAAAGCAAATTATCAAGCAACAATATTGCTGCGATAAATAAGAAAATGTTTAGTTGAATCTTAAAGAAATATCGAATTAATGATATGAAGGTCTTGGGTTCGACTCCCAGGCCGGAATAGTTTATCGTTTTCTTAGTAATATCTCTTAATAAATTCATATAGGGAATTTTTAAGATATAAATTATGTTACCGGATTTGTTCCCCGGTTGAAATCATCTTTCCAATAATGTTAATTTAAAGAAATATTAAAATAAAGTTAGAGACCAGGATTTGTTCCCCGGTCGAGATGATCGCTGTGCATAAGTAGAATTAATTGCATAAGTATTGTCTTATATGAGTTTGATATATTTTGTATGAAAACAAATGCCTATTTTCTATGATTGATTTATGAAAACATTCACTTATATTGTTTGATAAGAAACATGATAACTGATAAGAATCTGATTAGAAATAGTTTTCAACGTTTGAGAATTGTGTAGAATCATTTATTCACCTGGTATTGTTGATATTAGTGTATACTAAACTTTCCATTTTTACTGATAGTCGATAGCCGTGCAAAAGTTAGTTGTTCAAATAGTGTGAGTTCATAGACGCACGCTAGCCACGTACTTAGGAGGCCAAATATGTAGAAATTTAAATATTTGCAAATTTCAGCAATTTATGTAAAATGACTTGTAAAATATTTCAGATTGATTGTACGTGTAAAAGAGGTGAATTCTGTGTTATTTTATGTGAAAATTCCTGTGAATAAGTGAAATAATGATAGTTTTGTATAAGAAATTTAAAAGTGTTTTAATAGTGAAATATATAGAGAAAATGTAAATTAAACTATTGTATTAGTTAAGATATGTATAATTTCAAGTGGAAAACATTGTTTTAACTTTCTATGTTAAATATTTAAGAAATTCCAACTTTGAACATGTGAGTAAAATAAGCATATTTTGTTAAATAAATAAGGGGTTTTTTTGTGATATGAAAATGTAATGTATATCGTAGTATAGACATTTTTTTGTGCTATCTTTATAAGTAAATTGTATAAATGTATGTCTTATACAAATAAAGTTATTGAGCAAACAGTGAGAGAGTGATAGTACAAATTGATGTAATTGAGTTGCGCAAGCGCACAAATGGCGCGGCTCACTTTCGCGTTTAGCTTCAAGATAGTTCAGTAAATTGATTTTTCTTGCAAATCGTTACCTCTATAGATTACCTCCCTTTCCGTAGTCGGTGAACTACGGAAAGTAAAATTCTTATCCGGCTACATTACATAATGCAGCATAACCACGCCAAGATAGGCAATAAGTGACTGCCCCATAGTTATGGGGTATGAGGATACCCGGGTAATGGGGTATACCCCGAGGCCCGATACCTGCACGTACTTAGGTACGAGCAGAAGACATCAACGTTGCAAATCGTTCGGGAAAAGTGCAAGACCAGCAGTTAATAAGAAGAAGAAGAAAGAAAAAGTATAGGGAAGTGATAGGGAAAAGTAATTACTCTCTCACGGAACGGTTTGAAGATAATTGCTGTTTTATTCCCAAGGAATTCTCCCCTTAAAGTGATACAGAATTCGTATCCATATCGAAGAATTAAGGCGTTGGGACCGGGACGACTTCGGAAGACCCGTAATCTCCGCCTGAACCTATTTTCTGAAGAGGAAGAGGTTATCGCCCTTGTGTGTTACTCCGTTGCGGAGATCACATACGTTGTTCCCGAACCCAACGTAGGCGTTATAGGAGGCCGGATCGAGAGAAGCCTCGATTCCTCCCTTCTGTTTCTTAATTTAACGTTTGTCTGGTTCCTTTTCAAGTGGTCCTTCGGAGCAGGATCAAGGAAACAGCTGTGGACTGCTGGTTATGGAAAAAGAAGACCTTTGGAGCCGAGTGAAGATCAGCAACCGAAGGAAGCCGGAGGTTTGAGCTGAAGCAACAGGACCAAAGGCCGGAAGACCAGGTCAGCGCAGTAGGATCGGACCTGGAACTACCAGAAGAAAGAAAATCGGGATTGCGGCTTGGGGCGTGTGCTCGCATGGGCACGTATCGCAGCAAGGCGCAGGTGCCTTGTGAAGGCGCTCATCGTGGCCAAGCAGGGCTTGGCATTTTTCCTGTCGGGCAAGCGTGCTTGGCATTTTCCTGTCGGACGATCTTGTCCGGCATTTCCTGTCGGACGACCGTGCCCGGCATTTCCTGTCGGGTCATCAGCGGGTGCAAGAAGAAGAAGCGTCCACCGCTGCTGCTGCCAGGCGAGAGTGCTCGTGGGCACCTGACTGCATCGCGGCCGGGAGAGGGCGCCTGGACAAGGCGTCACCGGTGACTGGGCGACGAAGCGCAGCATACATCCCGACCACCTAACGGTGCCAAACGGTCGGGCTCTGGCACAACACCTTCGGGTGGAGCAGTTCTCTCGAGCGAGACTGCGCTTGCACTACCGCTCGACTGTTTCGTCATATTCCTTGGCGGGACAGTTCCTAAACCTTTCCTCCATTCCATTCCTGCACGACTCCATCCCTGGAGGGCTCACCTCGGTAGGCCCCGTTCAGGATTGATAGGGCTGATAGGGCTGTTAGGGTGGTAGTAAGGTTGTAGGGTTGGGAGATAAAAGGGGGGAGAGGTAGTGGGGTTAGGTTGAGGTGTAGAAGGGGTTGTAGGGACCGTAGGGACAGTTAGGGACCGTAGGCCAACAATCACTTTCCTGCAAGATGAAGAAGGCACAAGACCAGACAGGGAGAAGCGAAGGAACCAAGACAAGGACAGGGCCCTCAAGAAAAGCTAAAGTGGCGGAACCATCTGGAGCGACCACAGCTACTGCTTCTAGTGGAACAACTCCTTCAAGTGGAGCCACCACCGATACGTCCACATGCACGTGGGACTCAGGGGCGTCCGTGGCAACGACAAGCAACAGGACGGACACCAGTGGTATGCAGGCCAGCACCGCACAACAATCCGTTACATCCAGGAGTGAAACGGTAGTCGAAAAAGTAGGTCAAAGGACCGAAGAAGCGGCATCGTCA